TGATTGTCAATGAACTATGGAAGTTATACTATTATACTAGCAAACAACCTTATGTCATCACTATATCATAGTCCTAAACGTACATGAAATATTTGCCACTGGATGCTAAGCAACCAACAAATCTTTAGTTCATCGCTGTTTCATGTCAAACCTTAGAAGGTAGCATGGAAGCTAACTACAACTAATATGATTGTCAACGAACTATGGAAGTTATACTATTATACTAGCAAACAACCTTATGTCATCACTATATCATAGTCCTAAACATACATGAAATATTTGCCACTGGATGCTAAGCAACCAACAATCTTTAATTTATCGCTGTATCATGCCAAACCTTAGAAGGTAGCATGGAAACTTACTACAAACTAAAATGATTGTCAACGAACTATGGAAGTTGTACTATTATACTAGCAAACAACCTTATGTCATCACTATATCATAGTCCTAAACATACATGAAATATTTTCCACTGGATGCTTAGCAACTAACAATCATTAATTTATCGCTATTTTTATGTCAAACCTTAAAAGGTAGCATGGAAACTAACTACAAATTAATATGATTGTCAATGAACTATGGAAGTTATACTATTATACTAGCAAACAACCTTATGTCATCAATATATCACATTCCTTAACATACATGAAATATTTGCCACTGGATGCTAAGCAACCAAAAATCGTTAATTTATCGCTGTATCATGTCAAACCTTAGAAGGTAGCATGGAAGCTAACTACAACTAATATGATTGTCAACGAACTATGGAAGTTATACTATTATACTAGCAAACAACCTTATGTCATCACTATATCACAGTCCTAAAAATACATGAAATATTGGCAACAGGACGTTAAGCAACTAATATCGATAATAATTATCATGTCAAGCCGTTGAAGGTTACTTGGAAACTAATAACAAATAAATATGATTTTCAATGAACAACGAAAGTTATACTATTATACTAGCAACAGATCGTTGGCATTTCAATGGGCAGAGTTGCCTCCCTGGAAATATCTGATATTGCTATATTTAACCATAATTATAGACATAAAACAGAGAAATATCCTACGGAAATAATATTAAATTCCACTAAAGAATGAGAATTGATGGATTTAATATATTTAATGAAGAAGGTGAACAAAGTGAACAACTATTTGAAATAGTACATTGTTTTCATTCCTTCTGAAGGTACGAGAATACTTAGAAACAATAGCAATATGTACTTATAAGATTATCGTATCAATACGGTCTAAAGTGTAAATGTCTTGCAGATTTCTCCCTAACAAAACAGTTAGGCTAAGTTAGCAGACAGCAACTTCGAAAGAAACTAAATATTAGAAAACAAGTGGCAGAAATATCTTGAATATCTTAACACGATAATAACAAAATTTGGTGTATAATTCGGAAAGATCCGATTGCCAAAAAAATAAATAAAAAAAAAAAAAAAAAAAAACTATCTAAATCCAAACCAGATATTGGTTTAAAAAACAATAAGAATATTGGCAACATGATAATTAATCATTAAGCCGAAGACATTGATTCACAATACCCCACCACGGGAGGCTTTAGTATACAATCATTATACTGTGAAACAGATGTAAAAAGACGTGATGCCGATTTATTTCAAGAGATCACGTACAAGGGAAAACAGAATGGTTCCTGTTATATTCATGCATAGACCCGACATGGTATCTACACAAACCTCTTCAATTGTTAAACATGGAGACATTTGTTTATTATCAAATAGGTGTTAAAACATACACGACAGTCTAGTGTGAATTCAACAGTATAGCACTGATAACTACTATCTATATTAGATCTCGTGTAGATTTATGATAGATTAGATAACGAGAATAAAGACAATAAGTCTTTTCATTATATATATGAATGATTAACCAAAGGTGCTGATCTACTTGGTCAGTGTCTTTAGTCTGTAAAAAGACTAGCTACAACGTAGACCTATATGCACGTGTAGTAAATTTGAAAAAAACTGTTATGAAACAGACACACATCTATCTACTATACTAGATATAAAATAAATATATAAAGGTCGGCCTCTGATAAGGGTTTACCTGGGATTATTCCCGAAAGAACCCGAAACATTGCATATTAAATTCTAAAGAATTAAGCAATAAAAAGTACGTAGTGTCAGGTCAGAAATATTGATACCATACCATGAATAAGTGGGTTTATGGTCTTTTTATAAAACATTTTTATATTATTTTATTTTATTTATTTTTATATTCTTTTCTTTATTTATTAACTTATTCATCAATTTATTTATTCATTTAGTTATTCAAATTTTTAGTTCATATTATTTTTAATAACTTTTTTTGTCATTCTAAATTATATCAATTACCATATGGTTAAAATTAAATTATTTAATGCCCAAAAAGGCGCAAGCTAGGGCCGACCGTGCAAGGGCTGTATAGCCAGTCAAGGTCGTTAAAAAACTTCCATTTGTTACAGCTATAAATTAACCGTAAATAACAGCGAAATTAATATGCAAGTTAAATAATTGACCCAACTCTGCTAATTGGTGTACATGTAATTCAGATTTATATTCATTTGTGAGACCCGCGACACTATTTATATTTACTCAAAGAAAGGGGTTCTCCGTTACTGGGAAAATCTTATCTGATCTGATCAATTGATCGGTTCCACTCCCTTATCACCAGTGATCCATTTGCAGTAAGCTGACATTCTAAAAAAGGTATACTGTTGACTATCAATTTGCATGATTACATATGTCGACTCGTTACCCCGGACTACTTGAAAACAGACAATAATTCAGTTCATTGATTTAGATTGAATAGGGTTCGGTTAAACACCTCTCCCCCAAACAAATAAGAATTAAGGTACATCTGTTGGCAAATATGGTCGTACTAAGTCTAAGATGACGATATCTGGAGGCAGTGTAAGTGGATGGGGGTGGGGTGGGAGTGTCGAAGGTTTTTTTGTGGATTGGCTATTCATTTTGAACTTGCTACTAGAGACCACGGATTTGCATATAGTCAGACAAATCCTTGCAGTGACGTGTAGTGGCTACGCATGCTTTTTTTCCGAAAATTATTTTCAATATTGTACATCTGTCCATCTTATCTTATGAAAGGTTATTTATGTTCAACTATTACCAGACCAAGTGATGAATCAAAAAAGGCAGTGTCTATTTTGCCGGCTCCGGCAAAATACCCTCTTAGGTGCTATTTTACCGGCTCCGGTAAAATAGCCTCCTTAGCGCTATTTTACCGGCTCAGGCAAAATATGGATTTATATATAGAGTTTTGCTATTGTGCCGGTCTTAATTCAGATTTTCAGTATATTAATTAATAGAAAAAATATAGAAACATACAGTTTAATAAAAAATCTCTAAAATATATGCCTTCTTTAAAACATTTATACATAAGCAAAGCATGCATATTTATACGTTTTTATATAGATTGGACCGTTGGTTTTTCCGTTTGAATGGTTTTACACTAGTAATTTTTTGGGGCCCTTGGCCTAGCTTTCCTCCTGTTCCTACTTCTGGTGGCTCCGTGTTTATTAATAATTTATTTTTACGTATATATTTTTTTTTTATTTTATGTTTTATATAAAAATTTCATTTTTATATTATTTTATTTTATCTATTTTTATATTCTTTTCTTTTCTTTATTTATTAACTTATTCATCAATTTATTTATTCATTTAGTTATTCAAATTTTTACTCCATATTATTTTTAATAACTTTTTTGTCATTCTAGTTAAAATTAAATTATGTAATGCCCAAAAAGGCGCAAGCCAGGGCCGACCGTGCAAGGGCTGTATAGCCAGTCAAGGTCGTTAAAAACTTCCATTTGTTACAGCTATAAATTAACCGTAAATAACAGCGAAATTAATATGCAAGTTAAATAATTGACCCAACTCTGCTAATTGGTGTACATGTAATTCAGATTTATATTCATTTGTGAGATCCGCGACACTATTTATATTTACTCAAAGAAAGGGGTTCTCCGTTACTGGGAAAATCTTATCTGATCTGATCAATTGATCGGTTCCATTCCCTTATCACCAGTGATCCATTTGCAGTAAGCTGACATTCTAAAAAAGGTATACTCCCAGCAAACACACAACATTTTAAAAACATTTTTTAAATGTCATATGGACGTCTCTCACAAAATATTTCAATAAGATATCATTTAAACATAAAAAAAATGTTTATTTTATTGTCTTTGAAATGTTTTATTTCTAACATTTTAGTAAAATGTTTTTACAACATTAACAAAATATTATTTGCTAATATCTTTTATTCATGTTCTCAAACATTGTTCTAAAATATCCTGTAGATATTTTATAATATAAAAAAAATAATATTTTCTTCAATCGGTATTTTATATTTTAACAATATTTAAAGTAAATATTTTCCAAATATCCAAAAAACATTCTGCAAAAAAATGTTTTACAGAAAATATAGTTTTGCTATTTGCATAAAATGTTTTATAACGTAAAATTAAAATGTTTTACATAAAACATCTGAAAAATATCAGCTAAATGTTTTCTATAAAATATTCTGACATACACATTTACTTAATAGTCTTACTGATATTTTATTCAACATTTTACGGATATAAAAATAACATTTTATTTAAACTTTATTTATAACCCAACAAACAACGTTTTGTGGAATTAGCTCGTTTTTTTCAGGATAAGATATAGTACTACATTTCACCAATATCATGACAAGCAAGATACTATGGTTGAAATCCTTAATTGATATCTTGAAGATCCTTGAAGTCAGATTTTATTCCTTCTTATATTAAAATTCAAAAGAGTCAACATTAAATTAAGCAATAATGTATTAATAAACAATCACCTTTCTTTAATGTTTATTCATTTCGTTCGTGTATATTTTAGAAATTAAGAAATGAAAACTGTAACTGTACTGAGTTCAATTTTCGTATCGTTTATATGCCTTACGGAAAACCGACCTTTTCCGGAATCGACTTTTGTTTTTTCACCGGAAATGATTTTGAAATATGAATTTCGAAACGAAGACAGGATATCAACAAAGAGAGCCAAGAAAATTGTTTGTTACGCGATATATACTCACTTGGTAAGAATGATTAATATGTTAAGATGAAACTTGTGCATTCATTGTGTGTGTTCAATCATAATCGGAACCAAATTACATCTGTTTCTGGAGGTGCGGATCAAGGTTTTGAAAAAAGGGGGGCCCCTGCCCAAGGCAAGCAAACGTTTGGAGTGATACTTATAAATAGTCTATACATTTATCTTACAAGTAGCTCTATAAGGGGGTCGGGGCCCCTAAATCCGCCACTGTTCAAGCATCTACGTACACCAATCATGAATTTGTTCATTGATATAAAAAAATTATAAGGATATGTGGCTTGTGTGTTTGATTGCCAATACACCTTATCGCTATTTGTCCGCCATTACTGGCCATGGACATCACAAAAGTTCCCGTAAAATGTTGACGTCATATTATAAAATATTTGACACCACAATTGAAAGTAATACACCTTATTCAGTGTTATTGCTATTTGTCCGCCATTACTGGACATCACACAACTGTCACAAGTTCCCTTAAAATTTTGACGTCATCATAAAAAATATCTGATGCCACAATGGAAAAGTGATTGTTGTTTGACGTCAAAAGTTCAAGCAGGATAGATTCTCGGGTCAAGCGGGAATAGCGATAAGGTGTATTATTGTATGACGTATGCTGACGTAATAAAAAAGTTCAAGCGGGACAGATTTCCAAATACTGAAATAGGGATAAGGTGTATGAGACAGCTATCCACCAGAATTTAAATGACTTGGATAAAAGAAATTATAGGTCACTGTACTGCTTTCAAAAACTGAGAAAACCAATGCCATATAGTCCACTTTGAAGCCTTGACAAACAAATGTTAAATTTTTCTCAACACAATTGAAACAAAACAACTAACTGCCTACATTAAATACACATTATGAAAAAGAAATTTGATAGACTTAAAACCAACAACAACTATTGCAATAAGCATGACTCAATACCTTGTTTCCGAGGCACACAAACAAGTTACAATAACACTAATATAAGCACCATTTGAATATGGAGATTTTTTTTCTAGTAAAATCAGTGTATGTATGTATTTGCAAAACAGTAAATTAAATTTCCCTTAACAGCTTAATGAACATTACAAAGACTATGTAAGACTTCAGTACAAGCAAGATAATATAAACTGTTGCTTACAATTATATTTATTGCTTTATACACATAATGTACATACAATGTATCTTTTATTTTTTGACAGGAGCTAAAAGAAAAGCCACAAAGGACAAGTTCAATATGCAGGTTTACAATTTGGAAGTGGCGCAGGTTCTTTGGAATGTCTACAACCTTTCAGGAGAATTTTTTTTTGAAGTAAGATTTTTATACAGAATTACTGTTATTCCATATTTAATTCAAATATTTAGCATAAACAATGCATTATACATTCAAGATTAAGGGCATACAATACAAGAAAGATATCTGGATATTTGAATAAATTATTTTTTTTGTGACAAAATAGAAACAAGTTGTTTATTTAAATCAATCTCTTAGTCCAACAGTGTGCTTTCATAAACAACATATTTGCTTTCCTTTGAAGTATTTCAAATACATATAAACAACTCATTTAATGACATCTGTGTGTTTCTCGGAAGTTAGGTTATATTATTATCATCATTGCGAAAACAATGCGTAACACTTCGAGTTATTATGTGCCTATAGTATACTTCTAGGACTGTATCATATGCCCTTAGATACAAATGACAAGTTATAAACTATGTCACTCTACAGAGTTTAACACTTAAAAAGGACAATAAGATGTTTAATGACATTATGTAGCAGGGCTTTTAAAGGCCCCTACATGATACAATGCATTTAATGAAAACTAAAAAAAACAAGAAAATCAACAGCCTGATTTATACAAAACAATAAAAGAAAAAAAATATGATAGACAACAATCAACGAGTATAATGAAATAAGACTCTTGACTGGACACATATCTAGTCTAAATTTTTTTTGGTTTTTTTTTTTAATAACTAAATGAAGTTCAGCGTGGCATATTGCTCTCTCTTAACACGGTCAGCCATTTATTGTCCCCTTCCGACAGAGTATCATCGTTATTTGTTTCAAAACTTTAAAGGGGAGGGGATGTATATCCTTCAGGCAACGTGAATCGTTCTATAATAAAGGAATGTGCAAGAAGTTTATATATGAATGTAAGATTAATTTTTTTTTTCAGAAGCATGGCACAGCAGGAAAAAGATATAAGACACTACAAGACATTCCAAGTGATTTTGAATAAGACAATTGATTGACATTTTCAATGTATTCTTAAATAAATCAAATAGTTGATGTAAAATGGTGTTTTGTTCTCATCTCTTCAGCCAATTATCAATGATTATTGACTTAAGATGTAACCCTATTAGAAGTGTAGCGTTTTAGTTTAGAAAGAGTAGTTGTATTGAAAAATCTGAATTTGAGACACAAGTTTTAGTCAATGTAACTTGAACTTAAAAATGTGTATAATGTTTGCATAATGTCCAATGACATATATGTCATTCATGTTCAGGTTGACATATGCATGATGTGTACAAGATAGGTAATAAAAGTTGAGAGTGAAAAACTAAACATTATACCATTGTGGTTGGAATGTGGGCTTTCTTGCACTGTCTGTCGTCTGTCCACCTATATTTGTCGGATTTTGTCCAACAAATATTTTCATCACTGTTTTTCCCAAAACTGCTGATAAAGATGAGTTCATATTTAATGAGCTGCTTGATAGTGATGAACTGTGATGTGTGAACATTTTTGTATCTGGCACCTGTTTCCTGTTTGCTTATACATTGTATTTCAAAATGTTGAATGTTCTCAAATTTTTCATTACTTTAATTAGTAATGCTGATGAACAGAATGACTTCATATTTGGTAAGTGGCTTGACCATGATGAGTTGTGTCTGACATTTTGGATGTGTCAAAATTTGTAGATACTTCTTGTTTTTAGAGACTTTGAATTGTGAATTTCATATGCTTAGCAAAACAACTGATTTATTCTTGTTTGTATATAGAATTAATCACTGTGTATAAATTAATTTAACTAATGATTTGTTATTTAAAAAAACAGGAAACTCAATCAAAAGTACAGAAATTTTTATATTGATATGATCTAGATATCAACCAAAAACATCTTCTTAAAACATTTTGAAAACATTTTTTAGGCACTGTCTCACTTGCAAGAAAACATCCAAAAAACATTTTTATAACATTATTTGATGTTCATGATGTTTTTCAAACGTTCAGAAAATATTTCTAGAAAATATTTTTTAAAAGATTATCAAAATGTTTTATACGCCATTGTTTTTCATATTATCATGATATTTCTTTACAACATTTTAATTATATTATGCAAATATTTTAGAAAATATATTAGAAAACGTTTTAGCGATATATATTCTACCATACATTTAATGTTTTTCTCACGTTTTTTTGTGATATTTTCATGACATTAGACACAACATTTTAAAAACATTTTAAAGATGTTTTTGTGTTTGCTGGGCTGTTGACTATCAATTTGCATGATTACATATGTCGACTCGTTACCCCGGACTACTTGCAAACAGACAATAATTCAGTTCATTGATTTAGATTGAATAGGGGTTCGGTTAAACACCTCTCCCCCTAACAAATAAGAATTAAGGTACATCTGTTGGCAAATATGGTCGTACTAAGTCTAAGATGACGATATCTGAAGGCAGTGTAAGTGGATGGGGGTGGGGTGGGAGTGTCGAAGGTTTTTATTTGTGGATTGGCTATTCATTTGAACTTGCTACTAGAGACCACGGATTTGCATATAGTCAGACAAATCCTTGCAGAGACGTGTAGTGGCTACGCATGCTTTTTTTCCGAAAATTATTTTCAATATTATACATCTGTCCATCTTATCTTATGAAAGGTTATTTATGTTCAACTATTACCAGACCAAGTGATGCATTAAAAAAGGCAGTGTCTATTTTGCCGGCTCCGGCAAAATACCCTCTTAGGTGCTATTTTACCGGCTCCGGTAAAATAGCCTCCTTAGCGCTATTTTACCGGCTCAGGCAAAATATGGATTTATATATAGAGTTTTGCTATTGTGCCGGTCTTAATTCAGATTTTCAGTATACAGTTGGGTGCAGACCAAGCATTACATGTAGACGGGCCGAAAAAGGTTAACGCGGCGTTTACTCGCGTGCACTTCATGTTAACACCGCGTTAACTGTGCGTTAATTCCGAAATTTCAGCAGACATAAAAAGTAAACGGGCGTTTACTTTCGCGTTTACCTCCGCGTTAACGCAAAAACGGCGCGTCTTCTAATTTTGTAAAGAGTAAACGGGCGTTTACTTTCGCGTTTTCTTCCGCGTTAACGTGAACAAATGCGCGTCTTCTATTTTTGTCAAAAGTAAACGCACGTTTACTGATTGTAGTAAACGCGCGTTAACGCAGATTGTCATCGTATCCTGGATACACTGACCTAAAATATCAAATGATAAGGTACATCAAAATTAAATCACCAACTGGTCATTTTCGATTGACATATTGACGATTACAGTTAGTTAATAATGTTATCAAAGACTACAAAATGTTGTTGGCATCAATTTAGAGTGCCAGCATATGTCCTCTTTTTATTCAAAATATTGAATCATAAACAAATTTCAGTAGTTTTCCTACCACAGACTGACTCTTAAAACAAAATTATTTGTCCACATCAACCAAAACTTACCATATTAGCACTTTATTATGTAAATCTATATAGCTGCATAGTAAATGAGTTATATTTTCATGTAAGGATGGATTGTATAATACAAATGATAGCAATATTGGAACATAATGACTAAAAAATTTTGTTCGCATCAATTTAGAGTGCCAGCATGTCCTCTTTTTATTCAAAATATTAAATTGTAAACAAATTTCAGTAGTTTTCATTCCTCAGACTGACTCGTATAACAAAATTATTTGTCCGCATCAACCAAAACTGACCATATTTGCACTTTATTATGTAAATCTATATAGCCGCATAGTATATCAGTAATATTTTCAAGTAAGGATGGATTGTATAAAACAAATTATAGCCATATTGGAACATAATAACTACAAAAAAAAATTCTGCATCAATTTAGAGTAACAGCATGTCCTCTTTTTATTCAAAATATTGAATCCTAAACAAATTTCAGTAGTTTTCATCCCTCAAACTGACTCGTATCATTAAGTTATTTGTCCGCATCAACCAAACTGACCATATTAGCACTTTATTATGTAAATCTATATAGCCGCAGAGTAAATGAGTTATATTTTCATATAAGGATGGATTGTATAATACAAATGATAACAATATTGGAACATAATGACTAAAAAATTTTGTTCGCATCATTATCGAGTGCAATCATGTCCTCTTTTTATTCAAAATAATGAATCGTAAACAAATTTCAGTAGTTTTCATACCTCAGAATGACTAGTATAACAAAATTATTTGTCTGCATCAACCAAAACTGACCATATTTAATTTAGCACTTTATTATGTAAATCTATATAGCCGCATAGTAAATTAGTTATATTTTCATGTAAGGATGGATTGTATAAAACAAATTATAGCCATATTGGAACATAATAACTACAAAAAAAAATTCTGCATCAATTTAGAGTAACAGCATGTCCTCTTTTTATTCAAAATATTGAATCGTAAACAAATTTCAGTAGTTTTCATACCTCAAACTGACTCGTATCATTAAGTTATTTGTCCGCATCAACCAAACTGACCATATTAGCACTTTATTATGTAAATCTATATAGCCGCAGAGTAAATGAGTTATATTTTCATATAAGGATGGATTGTATAATACAAATGATAACAATATTGGAACATAATGACTAAAAAATTTTGTTCGCATCATTATCGAGTGCAATCATGTCCTCTTTTTATTCAAAATAATGAATCGTAAACAAATTTCAGTAGTTTTCATACCTCAGAATGACTAGTATAACAAAATTATTTGTCTGCATCAACCAAAACTGACCATATTTAATTTAGCACTTTATTATGTAAATCTATATAGCCGCATAGTAAATTAGTTATATTTTCATGTTAGGATGGATTGTATAAAACAAATTATAGCCATATTGGAACATAATAACTACAAAAAAAAAAAAAACTGCATCAATTTAGAGTAACAGCATGTCCTCTTTTTATTCAAAATATTGAATCCTAAACAAATTTCAGTAGTTTTCATCCCTCAAACTGACTCGTATCATTAAGTTATTTGTCCGCATCAACCAAACTGACCATATTAGCACTTTATTATGTAAATCTATATAGCCGCAGAGTAAATGAGTTATATTTTCATATAAGGATGGATTGTATAATACAAATGATAACAATATTGGAACATAATGACTAAAAAATTTTGTTCGCATCATTATCGAGTGCAATCATGTCCTCTTTTTATTCAAAATAATGAATCGTAAACAAATTTCAGTAGTTTTCATACCTCAGAATGACTAGTATAACAAAATTATTTGTCTGCATCAACCAAAACTGACCATATTTAATTTAGCACTTTATTATGTAAATCTATATAGCCGCATAGTAAATTAGTTATATTTTCATGTAAGGATGGATTGTATAAAACAAATTATAGCCATATTGGAACATAATAACTACAAAAAAAAAATTCTGCATCAATTTAGAGTAACAGCATGTCCTCTTTTTATTCACAATATTGAATCCTAAACAAATTTCAGTAGTTTTCATCCCTCAAACTGACTCGTATCATTGAGTTATTTGTCCACATCAACCAAACTGACCATATTAGCACTTTATTATGTAAATCTATATAGCCGCAGAGTAAATGAGTTATATTTTCATATAAGGATGGATTGTATAATACAAATGATAACAATATTGGAACATAATGACTAAAAAATTTTGTTCGCATCATTATCGAGTGCAATCATGTCCTCTTTTTATTCAAAATAATGAATCGTAAACAAATTTCAGTAGTTTTCATACCTCAGAATGACTAGTATAACAAAATTATTTGTCTGCGTCAACCAAAACTGACCATATTTAATTTAGCACTTTATTATGTAAATCTATATAGCTGCATAGTAAATGAGTTATATTTTCATGTAAGGATGGATTGTATAATACAAATGATAGCAATATTGGAACATAATGACTAAAAAATTTTGTTCGCATCAATTTAGAGTGCCAGCATGTCCTCTTTTTATTCAAAATATTGAATCGTAAACAAATTTCAGTAGTTTTCATACCTCAAACTGACTCGAATCATTAAGTTATTTGTCCGCATCAACCAAACTGACCATATTAGCACTTTATTATGTAAATCTATATAGCTGCATAGTAAATGAGTTATATTTTCATGTAAGGATGGATTGTATAATACAAATGATAGCAATATTGGAACATAATGACTAAAAAATTTTGTTCGCATCATTATCGAGTGCAATCATGTCCTCTTTTTATTC